GTTGACTGATATCTAAAACACCACCAAACAATCACATTTCAAACTACAACCATCAGAACAACACCATCACCGACTTCTCATCATCTCAATAGGCCAACACTATCGATTATACAAGCATCAAGGGTAAGGGAGAAGACGATACTCAATTAGAACTCAAAAATTGGAACCCTAAAATCGAGAACTAGAACCCTAAAATCAAGAATATGGGAAGAAGACGATACATTAATGGTGATCTTGATGTTAGTGAAGGCATCTAAATCAGAACATGGGATGAAAACGACGATGGTTCACAGTGGCTAATAATGTTGGCTTTGCGATTTAGAGATAGTGAAGAGCAGTGACGGCCTTGGGATGGTGTCGGCGATGCGGTCGCACCGGGCCTCCGATCTTAGGGGACCTCTAATTTTTGGGATAATTTATAGTTATAGTATTGGTATTTTTGTAAAATCTATTTTTATGTTTTATCAATAAATAAAATTAGCCCGGTAACATTTGATTCCATTTTTAGATGCATTTTAATTTTGAAAAAGAAATCAACAAAAATCAAAATCTAATCATAAATTTAAAATTTTTCAACATTTAATGAAAATATATATATCCATTAGCATTAGGGAAATCTATAAAAAAATTCACGTCATGCAAATGGCAAGTTTTGCCTAAAGTGTGGGAAAAATAACTGGTGCTTAAGTGGATTGTGACAAGTATCACACCACACCCATTAGCATTAGGGAAATCTATAAAAAAATTCCTAAAATTTGGCTTTATTAACACAAAAGGCATAACTGTTTTTTTTAATTAAACCTAAAAAGTGGATAAACACTTGAAAGTAACCACTATTCCCGGTTAATGTTGGTTTTCTAGGCCAAAATTGTAAATAAATAATCAAGTATAGTTTTTTAATTAATAGGGTTAAAGTTTAAGCATTTTTGTTGAAAAAATTTCTTTTCAACATATTAGATTAATTCGAAGAAAACTCATATTTATATATTAAAAACAATATATATATATATATATATATATATATATATATATATATATATATATATATATATATATATATACACTAAAAAACACAATACCAGTAATTTATATATCATTATATCATTTTTATATTTATTTATTCTATTCAATAAATATAATAACTAAAATCATAAAGAGATCATATATATCCTATAAAATATAAGATGATTTTGTAGATTTGTCAGAAGAAAACCAAGGTTCTAAAAATCTCGTCAACGCTCTATCATGGCTCCAAGGTTTGTGCATGCCACCAAGCTTCACCAAAACATCGCATTAACTCATATATTTGTATAGAATAGAATAATAATTGAAAATACATTTAAAAAATATAATATATATATATATATATATATATATATATATATATATATATATATATATATATATATATATATATTATCATTATTGTGCTTTTTAATAAATAAAAATAATTTTTTTAGTGAAATGGATGTATATGGTATCTTTATTTATTATTTTGAGTTTTATTCAAATTAATTTTAGTATATATAAAAAGATTTTTTTTTTAAATCCTTTAATTTTAATCATATTAACAAAAAAGTCATATATGATTGTTATTTATAATTTTGGCCCTAAAACCCGGCATTAACCGAGAACAAGAATTATTTTGCAGAGTGTTTAGCAATTTTTTTGACCTTAAATATCATAATAATAATAATAATAATAATAATAATAATAATAATAATAATAATAATAATAATAAATAAAAGGGATAGTTTTTTGCGTTAGTATATCCACACTTTAAGGACTTTTTGTATCAATTTGAATCCACCATCTTTCGTTTTATTCTATTCTAATTTCGTTTATATGAATAGATATTCTAAACTTGATAATTAGTCTATTATATTGTATTGTGTATTAAATAAATATTATCAATCTTACATATATAAAAATGTGTTTTAAAATATAGTTTTTTATTTAAAAAATGTCATTTTAACAAAATAACACCTAACTCTAACTGAGTATATACAAATAATTAATTTGGTTTTAATTTTGTAATAATATATTGGAATATATACAGTAAAGTCCCAATATTTTCATCGATTTGACAAGAAAGTTCTAAACTTTATTTTTTTTTATCAGTAAAGTTCAAATTACCGGCAGTTTTTGACACTTCTACCTTTTTTTCCCGATTAGCCGGTAATTGGGACATTTTTTTCAACAAAATATAGTTTAGAACTTTCTTGTCAAATTGTCAATTAGGACTTTATTGTCAAAAAAAAATAAGGTTTAGGACTTTTTTTGTCAAATCATTGAAAATATTGGGACTTTAGTGTATATATAATTTTTTTGTTAGAAATTTAATAGTATGATACTCTTTAAGCATAGAGTTATTGAAACCTTCTCTAATCAGCTAGATCATATTGAAATCCTTTACGTTACTTCTTGTTAAATCGTTTTTTTTAATCTTAACAAACCGATGTTGAAAAAAATTGAGATAATCAAGAAAGAAAGAAAGAAAGAATCAAGGTTGTGTTGGATTTTTCAGTCTAAAAAATGATGAAATTAGAAACCTAAAAAAATGAAATTGTCATGGCTTTATACAAACACAAACAACACATGCCTATTCAAAAGGGTGTGAATGTGGAGAAAGGTAAGAAGGGCAATTTTGTTTTTTCGATTTCTTATTTCTCCATTTTTGGGGCTGCAAAAAGCCAACACAACTCTGGTTCTTTCTTTCTTGATTATCTCAATTTTTTTCACGGTCGGTTTGTTAAGATTAAAAAATCGATTTAACAAGAAACAAATGTTAAGGATTTCAATATAATCTAGCAGATTAGAGAAGGTTTCAATAACTCTTATGCTTAAAGAGTATCATCCCATTAAATTTCCAACCAAAAACAATTATATATACATTAAAGTTCCAATATTTTCAACGATTTAACAAAAAAAAGTCCTAATTAACAATTTGACAAGAAAGTCGTAAACTTTATTTTTTTGACAAAAAAATCCTAATTACCGGCTAACCTGGAAAAAATTGTAAAAATGTCAAAAACTGCCGGTAATTTGGACTTTACTGTCAAAAAAATAAAGTTTAGGACTTTCTTGTCAAATCGATGAAAAAATATTGGGACTTTACTGTATATATCCCTAATATATTTTATAAAGTTTTTATATAAAAAGATAAAAAAAATGTAAATATATAAGTAAAAAACTAATAAGTTTGAAGAAAAAAATATATATTAGAAAATATATATTTTTTTTTGTAAAAAATTATATAGAAAACGATATACGTTGAAATGAAATACTATCAGAATGTGAAAATGATATAAGATCGTAGATAGTCTAATAATCAAGTAATATGACGTTTTTTGAGTAATATAAATAGTTCAATTGTAAAAAAGTGTATAAAAAACCTTCAGTGATTAAGTGTAGAACAAAATTTGTTACTTTAAGAAATCATTATAATCAAAAGGATATCTTTGAAAAAACATGCATAAAAAGTATTTGTATGGATTAAATTTGTATGTATGAAGAATGTATAAGTTCAACAATCTCAAAAATCATCATGACATGACACGGTAAAAATACAAGACATGAAATTAAATTGGAATATAATCAAATTTCAAATTTGTGTTCATGTTCAAAATCTATCGAGCTAATAACACCATAATAGAAAAGAAAGATCATGTTAACGTTCAAAAGTTGTTTATATTTAATAGTATTCTATGTTGTTTTATATTATTTTTTTGTCATGTTTAAATAATCCATTTCATAAAAAACTTACGTAAAACATCATGCAAATGGTTATTATTAATTTTGTCATGTTTTTATTAAATTGTATTCGTGTTAACAAACAAAAACACATTGTCATGTCGTGTTCATGTTAAAAAAAATGTAATTCGCGTCATGTTAAGCAAATACACGGAACTACCGCCACCTGCTAAATTTGCTAACTCTAATATGTTTTATAGGGGTGAACATATTAACCGAAAAAAGAAATCATAACCAAAGTAACTTATATAATCAAACCATTTTAAATGAACCATTACTAACCGAATCCGTATAATTCGGTTATAGCTTTCACCTAAAACCAAACTAGTATAAACCGAAACCGAAGTGAATCAATAATATTAACAAAATGTTTTTAATAAAATATAATATTAAATATATGATATGTAATTATATTAAAAGTTGAAATTTTAAAGAGAAATTATTTAGAACTATATATGATAAGTAATCTTCTATCAATATAATTATATATAGACAATCATTCACTTTTTACAACGATACAATCATTCACTTTTTATAACAAGAGACTTTACGTTTACCAGTTTCAATAGAAAAATATTTTTATTCTTAGGTAATCTTTAACCACTTTGGTTAATCGGTGTTAAACCATTCACCGACTTAAATCGTTAACCAAACCCAATATTAACATCTACCCGATGATTATAGAAATACATTAACCGATTATAGTGATTATGGTTTGGTTTTATACAAAAATAGCTACGTTGGCACAAATGAAAGATAAAAAGATGTGTCTCGTCTTCATAAATTTCGTTTAAGCATGAACACATGATCCACAAACACACAAACATACCAATTAATTTTAGTTAAGAAGGAAGCCAAGGGCACAAAACTTCAACATACATACCAGAACTTGCTATACAAAGAAACACAAGAAGAGAAAATGGATAATAAAAATGTTCTTCATTTATAAAAAAGAAAAAGTATGAAATTTAAATAAAATAATAAAATTAGAAACCCACAGGCAGAATGAGAAGGAGAAAGAATGCCAGTGGATGTTTCTCTATACATGAGGATGAGGATGAGGATATGATATGCTTTGATCTGCTTCTGCAACCTAAAATAAAATTTGTTTTATTATTTTTCAGCTCTCTCTCTTTCTCTATCTGTTTTCTGTCATCAATTCGGAAAAGCTCAAGGAATAGATGATGCAAATGGTTGTATTATTTGTTGTGGTTTGGTGTTTTGAGTTTTCAGAATACATCAAAGAATCAATAGAAGGGTGGTGGTGGAGGGGAGGCGTAAGAAACGCCAATCACCGGAGGTAATGGCCCCTCGTACGCTGGAGCTGGAGGTGGTGGGCTGTTGTATATAATCGGTGGTGGAGGTGGAGACGGGTGGTGGACTGGGGGTGGTGGGGAACTGTAAACAGGTGCTGGTGGTGGTGGTGATTTATGCGGTGGTGGTGGTGGTGGAGGTGATGGGGTTGGGGATGGTGGTGGTGGTGGTTCTATACAGGGAGGTGGAGGTAGTTCTATACAAGGAGGTGGAGGAGGTGGTGATGGTGGTGGTGGTGGTGGAGAATGGACTGGTGGAGGGGGAGAATGGACAGGTGGAGGTGGAGAATGAACTGGCGGTGGTGGAGAATGGGCTGCAGGTGGTGGTGGTGATGAATAGATATAAGATGGAGGTGGTGGAGGCGGTGAGTGAGGTGGAGGTGGTGGTGGAGAGTGTGGTCGAGGTGGTGGTGGAGAGTGTGGTGGAGGCGGTGAGTTATAGTAATATGGGGGCGGTGAATGAGGCGGAGGAGGTGAGTTGTAGTAATATGGAACAGGTGGTGGTGGGGAAAACAAGGGCGGCGGAGGCGGGGATGCAGTTGGAGGTGGAGGAGGTGGTGGTGATCGTACACAATAGGTTGGAGGTGGGGGAGGACAGTAAACTGGTGCTGGGGGTGACGGTGGAGGTGGGGGAGGAGAGTAAACTGGTGGTGGGGGTGATGGTGGAGGTGGCGGTGGAGAGTAAACCGGTGGCGGAGGTGATGGTGGAGGTGGGGGAGGAGGTGATGGTGGTGGTGGTGATGGTGGCGGTGGGGGAGGAGAATAACAGGTGGGGGTGGTGGAGGAGGTGATGGTGGTGGAGGTGACGGTGGAGGTGGGGGAGGTGAGTAAACTGGTGGAGGTGGGAGGGGGGTGATGGCGGTGGAGGTGATGGTGGAGGTGGGGGAGGAGAGTAAACAGGGGGCGGAGGTGAGGGTGGCGGTGGAGGAGGGGAGTAAACTGGCGGCGGAGGAGAATATACAGGTGGTGGAGGTGATGGTGGTGGGGGAGGAGAGTAAACTGGCGGTGCAGGTGATGGTGGCGGCGGCGGTGGAAGCGCCGGAACAAATGGCGTACACCTAAATGCACTACAATGAATCTTCTTAGACGCGAACATATCACACTGCTTTTTAGACCTTTGTGCCGGCCTCGCCGGCAAACAATTCCTCCGATCATCAAACTCCTCCAACCTCAAACACTCCGGCGGCTCACCGGTGAAGAAATTATCAGAATAAGTGAAATTCTCCAACCTCGGAAGACTACAGATACTCTTGGGTATACTTCCGGTCAAGTAATTATGAGCCACATTCAACTGCTCCACGCTCACCAAACCAGAAAGACTCTCCGGCAACGGCCCCATTAACTGATTAAAGCTCACATCAAACACCGTCACCTCCTTCAACAATCCAATTTCTTCCGGCACACAAGACCTCAATTGATTGTTTATCATGATAATCTCATTCAAAGTATCCGACATGTTCCCGATGCTCGCCGGAAGACAACCATGAAACCTATTGTTCGCTAAAACAATCACAGACACCGGCGAATTGCCAAAATTATCCGGCAATTCAAACACAAACCGGTTGTGATTAATAAATATAGCATCCAAGTCTTTATCGAACAATTCTTTAGGAACACTACCTTCAAACTCATTAAACCGGAGATCCAAAAACTTTAATACCGGTAATTTAAGAACAACGTAAGGGAATTTTCCGGCGAACCTGTTGTTGCTGAGATCCAATTCGTAGAGTAACTTCAACTGACGAAACTTCTTCGGGACAGTTCCACAGAACCGATTCGAATTAATATGAAACAATGCAAGATCCTTGAGCAACCCAAGCTCCTCCGGCAAATACCCAGCGATATCGCCGTGGTTAAGGTCGATTCCGGCAACGGTTCTCTCCGAACTGTTATCCAGTGCGGGTGCACAGAACACTCCCGTGTAGTTGCACACACTAGAACCCACCCAATTCAAAGTGAGATTTTGTGGATCTGAGAGTATCGCCTGCTTCCATGCTTGTAAAGCAATGTAAGCATTTCTCAGCCTAGGGTTTTCAAACACCAGCGTCGGATCCACGCTCAC